GGCACGTTTCCTCTATCGCGAAAGATAATCAAGGAGGGAAGGTGACTATCATCGCCAGCGTTGCAGCTCTTTCCCCTTCCTTTCCCTTTTCAGGATGTCAGCCCAGTTCCCCCTGGCTGAACTACAGAGGAGTCTGCGATCTTGATCTCGTTGCTGGATAATGCTCTCGTTTGCGGTCAGATCTCCAGTGCTGACAGAAGCCGAGTCAACAAAAGGGCATTTGTTTGTGCAACACCTTTAACAATTATCGCTTTTCTGAATGACGACTGTTGCTAAAGCACAATAAAGTAAATACACCTCTGATGGGCTTGCGGGTGATACGTGTAATCTACCTGCTGATGGAGGAGATTCACAGGAGAAGGGTAGATACGTTCTGGGAGAGCCCCTCAACTAGCTGATAACACACTTGAGTGAATGTTTTCCGATGTTGCCATGCGCAGCTTCCTTTGATCCGCTGTGGTCTGTCTCTCTCCTCGAAGGCCATTCATCTATGTTGTCACACTGCTGTTTACTCCGTTGCTAGTGCTGCCAATGTTGTTGTTGTGGCCCTGCATTTTAAGAGCTCTGTAATGAGAAGGAGGCAATGCTTTGTGAGATTTTTTTCAAAGATTACCAGTCCTGGCATGAACCTCAGCAGCGTTTTACTCTAGAATCCAGACCCTATTATGAGGGGTGTGATGTCTTTGTTTCCTATAATGGAGATAATAAAAATGGAGCACAATGTTAGGGCAAATGTCAATGGGATAGAGTTTGCCTATTATTTTGGATTAGTTTCCACTGTTTGTAGATGCTCATTAGAATACATTTACATGAACGCCTTTTTGTTTTAATAGTATTGGAGTCCACAGAAATCAAAGTGTATTAACACTATGCACAGTTCGGTTGGGTGGCCCTGGCCCAGTTGGAAGATGTGTGTCAGGATTCCGCCACTTTGGTCTTGTTAATTCTCCTTTTTTTGGCAGAGTCCAAACAGTAGTCCTGTCTTGTCTTGTATGTTGTGCTCGGCTCAAGCTTTCTTGGGTTGAGCACTCATTTTCTGTCATTGTGTGTTTGGCTGCGCTTGGGCTGTGTGCGTTACCGCTTGATGAGAGACATGAAGTCTCGGCGCGTTTGCGATGCACGCTCTCATCCTGGTGTTTGTGTTCATTCTGTCTGCCATATGGTGTTTCATTCCCACCGTCTCAGTCTAGTTAGTTTTAGCTTTGGTTATTGTTGGAATGAAACAAGCACGTTGCATGTGTGAGTGCACGGTGAGTGTTTTCATATATTGTGTACTCGTGTCTTGCGTTTAGTCTGTTGGTGTTGTGTTTCGCACGTGGTACATGTTTACATGCACCATGTAATTCAGTGTCTCATGTGAACACATGGTTAATGAGTTCGAGTCTCATTTAATGTAATCACATGGCTTGTGTTGTTTCATTGTGTAATGTGCTCCTGTCTATTGTCTAGTCCTAGACTCCTTGTAACCCATAATTTATCCTGTTCACCTGTCTGTTTGTTAATTATTTTTGCTTATATTCTCCTTATGTTTGCTGTCCTGTGCCAGTTCCTCGACGTATCCTGCCTGGTCCTGTCTTTTAGCCCTGATCCCTGCCAGCCTGCCCAGTCTAGTTTGTTTTGTTTGTTTATTTCTTTTGTTAATGTTTTCCCCCTCGGGGTAGTTTGCTTTGCCTTTTATCTTATTATAATTAAAAAACCCATTTTCTTGCACGTGAGTGCTCGCTCCTTTTCCCCATCACCGAACATGACAATGTGGGCCTGAGTGTGGTTTGGTTTCACTAGGGTATGTACGCTTGTAGCTCAAAAACTGAAGCGTGAGGTCACTTTTAATATATATAGTTGTAGAAACATTTGTACTGTATTGGGTCATTTCTTTATATTACTAATGCTGTTGTATTATCTCTCAAGTACTTGTCTATATGTTTCAAAAACACTATTATAGTAAATGGTATGTACTATAAGTTACTATAGTATTTTTTTCCCTGTTTGTATAGAGACAACCAAAATAACCAGCAAACCAAAATTCCATTAAAATGAAAAAGAAACAATAAGAGATTGTCCTGCACGACTTGACAGATGATATGTGAAGGGCGGATTTTAGAAAAAACATGACATTATGATCCAATGGCAACAGCTTCTTTCATGCATATGTCAATACACAATTGATACAGTAAATCACTGTGCATGTGCAGAACTTTCCGGATTGTACTCAATCAATCTAAACAACTGTCTTATTTTAAATGGTTTAAACTTATTTAAAATGTTTACCTCTTGTAATCCAAAAGTAATTTTTAAATCTTATTTGACAAATTAATTTTGACAGATTACACAAGATTTTTTATTTGTACTAGGCTACTACTAAGATTACAAATGGACTTCCATTTTTGTGTTCAACAGATAGAGATCTAAATGTAGAAGCTTTGACTAAAACAAGGCTAAATTTTGGGCTTTCAGTCTGTCTAATCTGCCTGTATGATGACTGTAGTTTTGGACCATTAGATGACTTTTAGATTTTTACTGACAACCCAAATTTAGCCTTGTTTTAGCATAGCATCCATGTTTAGATGTCTAATAAACTCAAAATAAACTCAAAAAAGTGTAGGGTCAATTGCAACACAGCTAATGTTTGTATTTTCTGCAAATGCAAATATGCAAATATTTTACAAGAACCCAGCCAAGTATCTGTAACCGGGATAAATAAAAATGCTAATGATAGCTTTGATGCTAAACAAGCTACTGTGCAGTTTTGCAAAAATAACCACAGCTTAAGCATACTATTAGCTAGTTTCTTTTCTCTTTGATAGAGGAAACAAAGTTGTGCAGGTATAAAGTAAAAAAAAACTGTCCACCACAAATTAGAAAAAACATATCTATAACTACTTCTTTCTCTTTTAATCTTTAACTGTTTACTTTATGCACCAGTCAACAAGAGCCTAATTGAGGACAGTATACTACCTCCATCGCTCATTCCATGGCTCTATTGCTCATAATACTATTACTAAAATAGTATGAAAGATTCCTTCTTTTAAACACTCCTTTTTTTCAATTCATTCAGTTAACAGACAGTCCCACCTCCAGACGCACACCATTGGTTAGGCCTCTGTTGGTGTAGCCATTATTTTTATAGCACTGCTGATTCACAGCATGTTAACTTTTTAGGGGAAATCAATTTACCCATTGATTAACTTGTATTTGTCTCTGCATAATAAATGGATAGTTCACATAAAGGTGAAAATTACCTCATTGTTTCATGTGGTTTAAAATATTTATAATTTTATTTTTTCTGGAAGATATTTTGAAAAATACTAGTTAATGGTATTGATTTTATAGTGTCAGTGTGTGTCAATGAGTCTCATCCACCAGCATTTTTCTAAATATCTTATTTTGTGTTCGAGGAAAGATACTCAGGTTTTTAATAAGTGAAGGGTGAGTAAAATTTTGGGTGAACTGTTCCTTTAAGCTTTGAAATTTCTTATTTAATAACTATCCTAAAAATCACACACTTCAGCCTTAATAAAATGAGCACAGTATCTTGATTAGCCTGTTCTTGCAGATGTACTTCCGAGGATCATAATGTTCAGCAGATGTCCCCTGCTCATTTCTCCATTAAATGGTCCGGCCCTCTGTTTTGTCTGATTTCTTATCTGTCTGAACTACCATCAGTCCTCTCAAGAAAAACATAACTCCTTCTCTCCCTATTTAGATGTTTTCCAGACAACCTCGTAATGCTGCAGCACTAAAAATCCTCAGCCTCACCCAAGACCTTGATTTATTTGGACCAGCTGGTGACAGACCTGCATAATCAAGCTGTTCACTATGATTTAAGCATACAGATAATGAAAAATAATGTGCTTGTTAACCAGTATTGATCCCAATGACCGGTTTATGAGATTCTAATCATGTTACTTTATCCAATGTTTCTGGTAAATAAGCAACCACAAGAGATTATTCGCACAAATCTAAAGTGGTGTTTTGTTGAATGTATTACATCTGCTGTTGATGTTACAATAATCTCTGCCATTTTACTTTCATTAAACACATTAGAAGTCTTAATAGCACACAGTTGTAACTTTTTTTCTAGCTTTTCAACTGCATGTTCCGTTTGTTCTTTTCGAATATCTGTTTTTCGGTAATTTGCTTCAACCATCTTCCACAGAAATGTTTTATGTCTAAGGTCAAAATAAATAATGCGGTCACACTTTACAATAAAGTTTTATTAGGTTGGGTTAGTACAATTGACTGACATTAACTAAAGGGTGTCCGTGGGGTCTTAAAAAGTATTGAAAATTGATAAACCAGAAATTTAAGGCCCTTAAAAAGTGTAAAAAAAGTTTGTAATGCTTTTACATATCTTAAATTTGGAATTATACAACATCTAGTTGTATGATAAAGTTTGCTTTTAATTGTACAATTCTGTGAGGCTGTGTAGTGTATGAAATCAAAAAAATCCTGCTAGATTTAACATTATTGCTTTGTTTGCTGTAGTAGTTGAGGTTATTCTAAAGTCCCTTTAAGGCACAGGTGTCAAACTCAGTTCCAAAAGGGCCGCAGCTCTGCACAGTTTAGTTCCAACCCTAATTAAACACACCTGATCAAACTAATTGAGTCCTTCAGGCTTGTTTGAAACCTACAGGTAAGTGTGTTGGAGTAGGGTTGGAACTAAACTGTGCAGGGCTTCGGCCCTCCAGGAATTGAGTTTGACACCCCTGCTTTAAGGCAAGGGTGTCCAGACTCGGTCCTGGAGGGCCAGTGTCCTGAAGAGTTTAACTCCAACCCAAATCAAACACACCTGAACAAGCTAATCAAGCTTTTACTAGTATGCAAGAAACTTCCAGGCAGGTGTATTAAAGCAAGTTGGAGCTAAAGTCAGCAGGACACCGGCCCTCCAGGACCGACTGCAAGTAACTTTACACATCCATCTCTGAAACAAAAATCCAGCACGTTTTTAAGCAGCAGATGCCCTTTTAGCCACAATCCATCTCTGAGATACATCCACACACACTTGTATGTGCCATCGATCCGTCTCTTCTTGTTTTGTTTCTCTCTTTGAATTAGCAGGATTTGAACGCGGGTAACATAAGACAGTCCAGTGATGTCATTTCGAACATGTTTAATAACAACTTTACTGAACTATAATACACGGTCAGAAAACTGTCTTGCTTCCATCTTCATGACACTACTTCTTCCTTACCGGAAGTGACATCACCATATACTTTATATTAAAAATTAAATTACTTTTAGTAAAATATTTTCAAGTTTGCCTTTTACATTATTATCAATTTAACATAAATAAAACAATGAACTTATGGCTCTTATATATCCGGCCCCTAATTGTATGGACAGGAGACCAAACAATTATCATATACATATTTAACTTCTAAGAGCCATTCAAATTTAAACATCAATAAGAAGCATAGAAATTCAGTCATTCTGTAAATGTAGTCCTTTCACATTGTCTTTGTTTCACCTATTCTTCTTAAATTGCTTCTTGAATTAAGCACAATTTGTTTACAGGTCTCTCTAGAATGCTTGTTTTGGTTTGTAGCTTCACACGGCGTACAGCTCCACTGGAGTCAGGCAAGGTTTGTACTACTTTTCCCATTATCCATGAATTGCGGGGAGCAGAACTGTCCACAATTAGCACTACGTCGCCTGGTTCAAAGTTCCTTTTAAGTTTTGTCCATTTACTGCGTTCTTGAAGAATGGGCAGATACTCATGAGTCCATCTGCTCCAAAACAAATCAGCAAGATATTGGACTTGTCTCCAACGTCTTTTCATATACTGGTCTTCTTTTTTGAAGACGCCTGGTGGCATGTTGGGTTGAGTTTTTAACAGTAGTAAATGGTTAGGTGTCAGAGGCTCAAGGTCATTTGGATCCTCGGATGTGGTAGTTATTGGCCTGTTGTTTATAATGCTTTCCACCTCACACATGATGGTATGAAGACTGTCATCGCTGATAGATTGTTCCTTTAGGAGAGCATTAAGTATCCTTCTAACTGTACGGATCTGACGCTCCCAAACTCCTCCCTGATGGGAGGCAGCTGGGCTGTTGAAGATCCAGTTAATGTTTTTCTGCAACATGGCCTGTTCTATTGTGATGTGGTTCAGGTTTTTCAGTGCTTCTCGCAACTCTCTTTCTGCACCAACAAAATTTGTGCCGTTATCTGAGCGCATGACAGCGACTTGTCCTCTTCTACTTATAAAACGCCTTAAAGCGTTAATGCAAGAGTCAGTGTCCAAACTATCAGCCACCTCAATGTGAACTGCTCTAATCGTTAAGCAAGTGAACAACACTCCGTACCTTTTTACAGTACTCCGGCCCCGTTTCACTTCAAAGGGTCCGAAGTAATCAACACCCACGTTTGTAAAGGGTGGTTTATCAGGTAGCAGACGGTCCTCTGGCAAACTTGCCATTTTCTGTTCTCCAACTCTTCCATTAAGCCGGCGACAAACTGAGCATTTATGTATTAATTTTCGAATGGCTGAATTAGCTTGGGGAATCCAGAATTTTTGTCTGAGAATGGACAATGTGTAGTTTCGACCACAATGTCCGTATCTTTGATGAATGTCACTTAAAATGAGTGTTGAAATTCTGGAGTATTTTGACAGAATTGCAGGATGCTTGGATTCATTTGGCATGGCTGCTTTGTTAAGTCTACCACCCACTCTTAGGATTCCATCCTGGAGCACAGGGTCAAGCCTGTACAGCTGACTTCTTCTCTTAATAGTCACATTTTGTTTGATAGCCTCAATTTCTTCCAGGAATTGTTGTTTCTGACTGTGCTGAATAAGAAGAATTTCTGCTTGTTTTAAATCTTCCAGACTCAGTGACCTTTTCTTTATTTTTGATTTGAATTTTTGCATTTCAGTTTGTAGAAGGGATGCTTGTTTTTCTGGGTCTTTCTCAGATGTTTCAATAGACGCCTGAAACTGTTTCCTTGCCCTACATAACTGTAGGAGTGTCTCTTTTAGTCTTAGCATCCATGCCACTGCCCTTTTCAGACGAAACCAGCTCGAGTAGTAGTCAGTTAACCTGCACAGGATGTCGTTTTCATTGACATTAAGAATGTTGACTTTGGTTTCAATTTTAATTTCAGGGTCCTTTTGTTGATATTGATTAATCTGATCTGGTCTTTGTGGCCATTCTTCTTCTGATTTCAACAAAAAGTTTGGGCCCTTTGTCCATGTTTCTGCTTGTAGAAAGTCCTTTGCCTTAATACCTCTAGTAGCTTGATCTGCTGGATTCTGAGCTGACCTGACAAACTTCCACTGTGACGGAGTGGTGGCATCCCGTATTAGTGAAATCCTGTTGGCTACAAAGGTTTTGAAGTGGGCGCTCTCATTTTCAATGTAACTCAGCACCGTTGTGCTGTCTGTCCAAAAAATAGATGGCTGCAGTGGCATTTGTAGTTCTTGTCTTAGTATCTTGTCCATTTTGACTGCTATGGTTGCGGCGGTCAGTTCCAGTCTAGGAATTGTGATTTGTTTAAGTGGGCTTACTCTTGACTTCCCCATCAACAATGAGCAATATTTCTGATTTTGTTCATTTGTAAGAACCAGATAAGTTGCTGTGCCATAAGCACTCTCACTGGCATCAGAGAAATGATGCAGTTGAGCTTCTGCTGTGATGCCAAACTTCTCTGGCTTTAGACACCTTTTGAACTTGACATTTGAGATCTGACTTAAATCTTCTAGCCATTTAACCCACTGATCAGCACGCTTGTCATCAATCTCATCATCCCAGCCATATCCTTGTTTGCACAGATCTCTTAAAAGTAACTTAACTGGTAATATGAGTGGAGCCAGAAAGCCAAGAGGATCATAGATTGAATTAACCACTGAGAGGATACCTCTTCTACTCGACGGCTTCTCTTGGACTTTGATATGGTATGTGAAGGTGTCATCATCTGTGCACCACTGCATACCCAGTGCTCTCTCTATAGGCAAAGAGTCCTGATCCAAGTCAAGGTCTTTTACTCCACTGGCCCTTTGATCTTCTGGGATAGACAACAATACTTTCCTATTATTGCTCACCCACTTCGTCAATCGAAAACCTCCTTCCAGACACAAATCTTGAATTTCCTTGACAAGGTTGATTGCTTCTTGCTCATTGGACACTGATTTTAAACAGTCATCCACGTAGAAATTGTTCAGAACTGTGTCCACAGCCTTTTGCGATGCTACATGTTTTCTGTCCTCTGCTGTCTTTCTCAGTGCATAGGAGGCACAGCTAGGAGATGAGGTGGCACCAAATAAGTGCACCGTCATTCTGTATTCCTCTATAGGTGCATTCAAATTGCCATCTGGCCACCAAAGAAAGCGAAGTAGATCTGTGTCTTCCTCAGGAACTTTCACCTGATAGAACATTGACTCCACATCTGCCATCACAGCGATCGGTTCTTCTCTAAATCTGGTGAGTACACCAATAAGTGTGTTTGTGAGGTTTGGACCTTGAAGCAATTGGCTGTTCAGAGACATACCTTGAAAGGAAGCAGTACAATCAAAAACCACTCGAATTTTGTTTTTCTTCGGGTGATACACCCCATGGTGTGGAATGTACCACACCTTGTTGTCGTTCCGATTAAGATGTTCAGTGGGAACTCTGACAGCATATCCTTTTTCTATTATGCTCTTCATGAACGTAGTGTAGTCATCAAGCAATTCTGAGTTCTTTTGAAGCTTTCTTTTTAGGTTAGCTGCACGTATTTCAGCAACACATCGATTGTTTGGCATGGTTACTGTTTCATCTCTCAATGGTAGTTTCACACAGTAATGTCCATTCTCAAATTTAGTCTTTTCCTGCATTAACTGCATGAATCTTTTGTCCTCCAGTGACTTTTCCTCTTTCTCCTCATACAGGCGTTCTGGAAAGTCTGAGTTATATTGCTGAATCAACAATTTTTCGATTTCCACTACTGAGAGACGATTAACTGTATGATGTGGCAGTTTGGACCTTTCTGCATTGTTTGTTTTCTTAATGGTGCCATTTACTACCCAACCTAGTGCAGTTTTAACAGCGTATGGTCCATCTTGTTGGCTGTTTATAATGTGCCATGGTTCCATTGCCTTTGGATTGTTTGCGCCAATCAGAAGCCCCACATTTGCATCAATACAGGGTATGTTCACTTCACTTAAGTAAGGCCATTTTTGAATGTCTTCCTGTTTAGGAATGTTCTCATTTTGAACAGGAATATTGCTGTGTGTAAAGACTTTAGGTAGTTCAATATACTTGGTGTCGTCTAGCCCACATACTTCCAGGTCGGTGAGGATAAAACTGCTCACTAACTTCTGTTCACCTGGCTTGTCTTGACACATAGTGCTCAATAGAATCTGAGTTGGCTTTCCTTTCAGTTTCAGTTTATTTCGCAGCTCCTCTGTGCAAAATGTTGCTGTACTTCCAGCATCGAGGAAAGCATATGTTTCCACATATCTGTCACTTTTATTTGACTTGACTTTAACTGGCACTATTGACAGCACACAGTTATCTCCCCCAGACTCTGTGTAGTTGCATGATTGGTGACTTAGGGAGATCTGGGCACATGAGATCTCTTTGTCTGGTGTCTCAACCTGCTTTGTCACTTTGCGATCTTCCTTCATATGTAAAATGTCTGGATGCCTTTGAGAGCATTCTTTACATTCAATTCTCTTTCTGCACATCTTACTCAAATGACCTCGAGTTAAGCATCCAAAACATAAGCCTTTTGACTTCAAAAAGTCCACACGTATACTATGTGGCTGCTCTTTGATTTCAGTGCATGACTCAAGAGTGTGACTTTTTGAGCAAAACATACATGGCTTTTCAAAAGCGCTTACCATCTTAGCTGGACTGGCAAGTTTACTTGATGTATCTTGAGGCCGTCTTTCCTCCATGCATATGTTGGTTGCAAAGCTGCTCTTTTTTATTCCCCTAGTAGCAGGAAATTTCTCCTTCTGATTCACCTTTGCAGTTACAGCATTGCGAGTGTCCAGTATGTCTCCAAAGAAAGGATCTGTGACCACTTTTGCTTGACGATCAATAAAATCCACCAAATGAGTAAATCTAGCTCTTACTCCTTGTCTTTCCTTGATGTCATATGCTTCTGATCGCCACCTTTCTTTCATTTTGTATGGTAATTTTGAAATTACATCTCTCATATTGGTGGGACTGTCCATCTCCTCCATGGACTCCCCATCTTCCAATGTATTGCGACATCCAATTAGGAATAAAGCATAAGCACTCAAGGCTTTGCTATCATCAGACTTGATTTGAGGCCACTTTTGAACTTTATCAATAAAAGCTCTTGCTATAATAAGCTCGTCTCCATAATGCCTTTCGAGCAGTCGCTTTGCTTCTTTAAAACCTCTGCTTAACGGCATATATTCACAGCTTCTGACAATCTCTTGAGGCTCTCCTGCAGTGTATTGTTCAAGATAATACAACTTGTCTTTTTCATTGTCTGTTTTATTTTCAATGGTATGCTCAAAAGACCTGATAAAGGATCTATAGGTTAATGGATCCCCTCTAAACACTTGTATGTCTTTACTAGGAAGCTGAATTTGTCTTTGTTGTCTCACCAACAACTCAGTCAAGTCATTTTGTTTCTGCATAACTTGAATAATGCTGTTGTCTGCTTGTGGATAGTCACTGTGTCCAGGTACTTGTATGTTCAGTTCTGTTGCTGGATGTATCTTTGGACTTGAGACAGACTTTGCTTTATCCTTCGCCACAGTAGAATGAGAAGGTGAACTTTCTTTCTGCTCTGTTTTCAGTTCAAGCTGTTTATGGTGGATTCCTTTTCTTTTCTTTGACCGCACACTACTTTTTCCATCCTCTGAATGCTCATATTCTTTCAGAACCTTTAATTTGGCATCACTTTCTGCAAGCGCTGTTTCTATTTCAAGTTCCTCCATTTTTGCCTTTATCTGCATCTCTTCAATTACAAGTTGTTGTTTTTTCTTTAATGATGCTGCCCTTGCTAGCAAAGCTGCACGTTTTGATTCTTCTTGTGCATATGCAGATGATACAGAGGAGCAAACAGATCCACTTGTAACTGAATCACACCGCTGCTTAAGCTCATTTTTGTTCAAAGATACCTGTGAGGCACTGTCATGAGGCATAATATCATCCTCCATTTCCACATTGTCATTTTTCTCAGCTACAGCAGCTATCCAGTTTTCTGTTTTATTCCTAAAAATATTCACAGAGTCCATTTTAGGCTGAAACCAGTTTTGTTGGTCTGCAATCCTTTCATCTTCAGACAAAAGATCTTGAACTTGAACATTTAAATCATTAAACTCTGCTAACAATTGTGCAAAGTCAAGTTGCATTAAATCATGCACATTCTGCAGATTTTCATCATCATTCATCAACCTTTCTAGGGTTTTTATATTACTGGTAAGAGCAGATAATTTAGCTCTTCTCAATCCAATAATTCTGTGCAATTTCTCCTCTAAAGCCTTTTCAGTGGGTTTAGGCGCCCTCTTGTGTTCGAAAGCTGCAGTTTCACTTTCGCTTCCTTCAGCCATCTCCATTCAATCAATGCACAAACTGTTTGCAGACGATTAAAAGTACACGCAATACTTTTCTGCATCAACCGTATGCATTTCAGCTTCTTCAAATATGCATTGAGTCATCATATAGCCGAATCAGAGTCCGTTACCTTACTGTTATGCAACGTTTCATACGTGTCAGTCACGTTCCTTCCTGTAAAACAGCTTTAAATCCACCGGAGAAATATCATCCACTATTTATAATCCACGATCGCGAGTCATTTCAGATCACTCAAAGACGATAGTTTAGAGATGAATCTCCGTCCGTCATAACGTGCCACGTGCGCTCCTTCATTTCCATATCCATAGAGCGAGTTTTTTGACTAAATTGTATGTGCCATCGATCCGTCTCTTCTTGTTTTGTTTCTCTCTTTGAATTAGCAGGATTTGAACGCGGGTAACATAAGACAGTCCAGTGATGTCATTTCGAACATGTTTAATAACAACTTTACTGAACTATAATACACGGTCAGAAAACTGTCTTGCTTCCATCTTCATGACACTACTTCTTCCTTACCGGAAGTGACATCACCATATACTTTATATTAAAAATTAAATTACTTTTAGTAAAATATTTTCAAGTTTGCCTTTTACATTATTATCAATTTAACATAAATAAAACAATGAACTTATGGCTCTTATAACACTCATTCACACTACAGACAATTTAGCCAACCCAATTCACCTGTACCACATGTCTTTAGACTGTGAGGGGAACTGGAGCACCCAGAGGAAACCCACACGAACACGACAGCACAACCTACTTCGCCACTGTGTCGCCCACTGTATATCATTTTTTAGGTTGTCATGTTTTTGTAATATTTTGCTTGAATTTAATTCATCATATTAACTAATACAACCTTATTGTGATGTTTTCCAATAATACAAATGTATCATTTTATTTTCTAGGTTGCTAAATATGAAAAATGAGTAAAGTCTTAGCATAAGATGAAAGTTAAAAATGACTATGAATGATTGTAATGATTTTAAATCCATCTTATTTTGCTTTTATAAGCTCAGATTGCTAGTGTATAACCTTGTTTCAAACTAGTGTCGGCCTCTTTAATCAACAGGGCATACAAAGTGTAATTTCTCAAGCTGGTTTCCTCTGCAGTCAACTGAAAAGCAGTAAATGGAATCATTTTTCGACACAGTTTGCAAATATTATGACAAGCACGTAATGTTCCACCTTTAATTCCTAAAATATTTTGTAATCGGCTTTTGAGGAGATAAAATTGGTTAGAGTTTTTATGTTTGATTACATGCCAAATGTACATTTCACTGCGCTATCCGCAGAAATTATTTATCCCACTCAAGAATCTCAGTAGTTTTTCTAGCCATGGAACTGGAATCTCTGAGAAGTCTAGCCACACAGGAAGAAATGTTTCACATCATATAAACTTCAGAAACATGTTATATTTTAACTTGATCAATCTCAGGAAAAGACTAAATGTTTAGAGGGGCCGCATTCCATAAAGTTCTCAAAAAACCATTGAGAAACGATTATAGCCATAACAGCTTTCCGGTTTTTCTAGCTGAAAAATGTTTCTGGTAATAAGCAATTCCTTAATAGCCGAGAGAGTTCCAGCCAGAAAAATAGCTTGCATTCTTTGAGTCACACCAATCAATTACACTTTATGTTTCAAGTAGTTAATTAAATCCAGTCAGCGTCCTCGTTTAATTTGACAGATGTAATGATATCATAGAATGTAATTCTCTTCATAAAGATCCAACAAAAATCTCAGAGACACGATCAAACCGTGCTGTTATGGGAATTCCTGGTGAGTTTTATTGCTTGATTAATTCTGATTGATTTATATCTAAGTGTGACAAGCAATAACACATGCAATAAATCAAAACCAAAATTTATACAGGAGTGGTAGAATTACGCAAAACCAAAATAGCTTTGTCAAGCTCCTTAACAAACCAAGGCTCCATTCCAGAGTGTGAGAGATTGATGACCAAGCTTTCGCATAGGGGGGGTGTATGGTTGGGGGTTTCAGAATGCGCAGAATTATTGGACTGCTGGGAAGGTGCTGAGGAAACAGATTGTGGTCCAATGGCAAACTCCATGAGTCCGCGGCCTATTAAAGTGCTGACACGCCACTTTTTTCCACAGTGAACTGTGAGGAGGAGGAGCAGGGGGCTCGGGGAGGTGACATCCTGGTCCCCTTGTGTCCCTCCTGCAGTCTAGATTACTGTTTCCACTGTGTCTTTATCTTCATTTCACTTCTGCCCTTTGTGAATTGAGGGAAGCACTTTCAGCAGAACTGTCTGCCTTAACAAAACAACCATGTGGTAAATGGCAAGTGTCTGGGCACGACAGTCAAAGCATTCTAGACTGTGGTGCCCCATAAGGTTGTGATTTATCCTTAAGCAAACAATGTTAATGTCTGCCTGGTTGCCTCAAAAATATCTGCTTGTTGCCATAAAGGCGAAGATCATTTTTATGAGTCCACAAGGGGGCAGTCTGCTCAAAATCAGGCACCATTGATGATAACATGATTTTTCTTTCAATGCCTTGACTCAGATGTGGTAAAGTGTAAAGCCTTCGTTTTTACAACTGGTGTTTGGAAAACCAAAAAGGTTACTGAAGTGGATGGAGCTTTTAGTAGATTTAATTTAGCCCCTAAACTGTCACCCCACAATTGCAATTCACTTGAATTATAGGTGAGATATGAATATTATACGTCGAGATAAATTCAGTTTCAGACAATAAAAATAAAAAATTCTTAGATTTTTTGGAAAAATCTACTAGCAAACAGTTAAGAGGTTGAAAATTAAGTTCAGGTTGTATTTGAGTAGCAAACAGGATTGAAATTAAACCAATTTTTAAAGTAAAATTAATTCATACAAGTGTCACAATTTATTTAGACTTTATAAACAGACAGACAAACCAACAGATTTGATTGATCAATGAATTGATCTACTGCTCTCTGTAGTTAATTTTGCATTTTACATTGAGAATATAGCCTTTGTTGTAGTTTTTTTCTTGTTTTTAATAAAGAACCAGCAACACATTATGTCCATGAAGCTAGGATCAGTATAAATCCAAGCAGTATGAAAGTCAAGGCATGCTTTAATCCTGGGGTGTGAAGTGCCAAAATCCAAACTTTATTAAAGGTGCATTAGGTGATCTGCCACAATGCTAACCTGTTAGCATAATATCTTTGAAACACAGTCCCTCCCCTACCGTCCAAAACTGCGTCCTTATTAAACACAATTGCGTGCACCTTAAAGATGACAGCAGACAATCCTCCTTTACATGCTGTTCTAATGCGACTCTGCTTAATGGTTGGCCAGCGGCATACATGCATACCTATATGCTATTTAGACAGAATATTCAAAGTAGCATGGTAAACAATACAGGGACCCCATCACAGTTTGTCATTGTTCAAAACTGAATCAATCTTCATCAATCTTCATCCATGGCTGAACAGTGCTTCTGTGTATATAACCCATTCATAATACAACAACATCTACATCAGCTTTGTGTGACTAAAATAGTTTTAAAACACAACCTTACCTGTCTAACAGTAACACTTCAGCCATGTTGTCGTCCTTCCTCCAGTGTGCAAAAGCAACTCCAATAGTCATTCAGGATTTTAAAAAGTTTTGATTCAGCATTTTTTATTACCTCTCACTTTCTTGTCTCATGTGCAGTAGTGGAAAGAGTACTGAAAAAGCATACTTGGTATGGTAAAAGTACCATTACTTGCCTAAAAATGCAGTGTAAGTAGAGTAAAAGTACCTGTTGTAAATATTACTCAAAGTAGGAGTAAAAAGTAGCCCTTTTAAAAGTACTCATGAGGAGCGAGTATTATACTGTTAAAAGTTAATGCATTTACATGTAAATTATGGATGTGTGTAAACGTAACATTCTGTAGTGAATTTAGTTATTGCCCCGCAAGCACACAATGTCATAAGACGCTAATATTAGGTTAGATTTAGGTTGTGATGTCAGGTGACCAAAATTCAATGTCTAGTCAGCGTCTAAGGACAACATTATATTGATGTCCAATAATGACATCAAATGACGTTGATATTTGGTTGATTTTAAGTTGTTAGAAAGTGACCAAAATTCGATGTCGAGCCAACATCTTAAACCAACATCCTATTGACGTCAAATACTGACATTTATTCATCAGTTACGGCAACCAAAATTCAACGTCTGATAGACGTCATAGTGGTAACGTTGACACATCGTCAAGCTGTAACATCATCAGACTTTGATATTTGGTTGGTTTTAGGTTGGACATTGGACATTGACATCGGGCTGACATTGAGTTCTGATGTAAACCCGATTTTCATTTCCCAAAAAAATGGGGGTACAATTTCAATCTGACGGCATGTTGACCTCTTGTGCCTGCTGGGTGTTTAAGGCCATTTCGGTCATCATACAGTAAATATCCATCATCTCATCAGTGACATGCATCTAAACCAGGGGTGCCCATACTCGATCCTGGAGGGCTGGTGTCCTGCAAAGTTTAGTTCCAATCCCAATTAGACGCACCTGGGCTAGCTAATCAATGCAAAGTATTTTGAAAAGGGGGAAAACAATAAATCGTTGTATGAATGCTGTAATGTTTAAATAATTTACCATGTTAAAACGTTATAAAGGTCGTGTGACCATCAGGAGGAATGCACCATCTCATTTCTCAAAGGATGTGTTCTCCTGAGTTTGTTCCTCCAAGGACACCTGGCAAGGCCGGTCTCCACAAGAACGCAAGTCTGTTCTCTGTGTTCTTGGAATTGAGAAACAGCCTGTGTTTGGGCATCCCTGATCTAAACAGTCTCTGGGTCAATGCGTGTAAAGATTTTTAACATCTTCTTGGACACTTAATGCTTCCAAACAGTTTGCTGCAATGTAAAGTGCACATGTCTTGAAGTAGTTCATTATGATGCAATTTACCTTCTATGTGTGATTTAATTGGACAAGAATTACAGGACTGATTTTTCTAATACCCATAGAAAAGAAAAAATAAAGTAGTGACTGCAGGTTGAAGGAAAGTAGTGGAGTAAAAGTACAGATGCTGCACTAAAAATGTACTCAAGGAAAAGTAAAAATACACATTTTTAAAACTACTTAGTAAATTACAATTTTTGAGGAAAACTACTTAATTACAGTAACTTGAGTATTTGTAATTACTTACTTTACACCACTGCTCATGTGCACATGAATGTAAGGTGTGTGTTTGTGTGTGTGTGTGTGTGTGTGTGTGTGTGTGTGTGTGTGTGTGTGTGTGTGTGTGTGTGTGTGTGTGTGAAAATGGTGAATCTTCGTGAACAGAGTTGGGCAGTATGTTGTACAAATTTACATTTGTTGTCAGACAGTTTGGGCAATTTATTAGAATTATGGGAATTCGACATAATTTAATTGAATGTTTTTTTGTTTAATGAAAAAAAAATACATATAAATACATTTACATCATTTACTTTAATCAGTACTATTAGAATGTGAAGAGACTTTCAACCAGCACAACAAAAAAAGTTTTTGAAGGTAAATCACCTACTTTAGTGGTCCTCTCAACCACCGGGATCAAT